AGACATAGACATGGACATGGACATGGACATAGACATAGACATAAACATAGACGTAGACATAGACATAGACATAGACATAGACATAGACATAGACATAGACATAGACATAGACATAGACATAGAGACACAGACATAGACATAGACATAGACATAGACATAGACATAGGCATAGACATAGACATAGACATAGACATAGACATAGACATAGACATAGACATAGACATAGACATAGACTCGACATAGACACAGACATGGACATGGACATAGACATAGACATAGACACAAACGTAGACGTAGACGTAGACGCAGACACAGACATAGACATAGACTTGCTTGATTCTCTAGACTCTAGGACTCTAGCTGTGGAACAAACTCACGGCCTACACTCGCTTGTGTTTCATGCCATCATACGCCATATGCCATATGGCCATATGTCTTATGCTTCTGGGGCTGAGACATCATACGCCGGGGCTCAGGCAGAAATCTTAAAATGCTGAAGGCCGTTCTCCCCCAACAACTTCAAAGCGGAAGCTCGGCCATGGCCACTTCTTCTGCGCGGCTGCTCGCACAATTACACTTCATGTGTGTTACATATGCGGGAAACAGACTAAACTGACTAAACGTGCGCAACTCACTTCTTGAACCATTGCGTTGGAAGTGGACCCAGTGGCCTCCTTGGGACCTGTAACTGTAGCCGTAGCGTTACCTATCATATTGCATTCGACAGCTCCCACCAACTAACTACCAAACTATACCTACCAGTCACTGCTACCCGCTACCCTTCATGAGTCACTAGTCCCGCGGCCCTATAGCCCTATCCTATGGTCTATGCCGTCGAGTCTAGAGTCAATCCCTATCAGAGGCCCTACCAGGCCCTACCAGCCGTATCACAGCCGAACCACCACTTCAGCTGCAAGGGTTCCATCGGGCCTCGTGGGGTCTGGATGGGCTGCGGCTGTGGTAGCCGGCACCCTGCAAAATCGAACCCATGATGCATGGGCGAACCTCAGCTTTGAGAATTCACTGCGCCATGGCTCTCCCTGTGTTCAAAAGAGTGACACAAATGCTTCCTTCGATGCCATCCTTGTCGATCTGGCTCAGCTGTGCCGAAATTGCACGGACATCCTTGTTCTGAATGCCATGCCAAAGCACACTCTCCGCCATCATCACACCAACCGATTTCACACGTGCCTTGCAGACCACGAGCATCTCTGCACCGGCCTGAATGCCCTCATTCGCCATGTCCCCGAACAAACCTTGCTCGTACGGTGAGCTGTACTTCTCCACGACCGTCGACAGCTTCTCCACGGCCTGAACAACAACTCATTGACCGGAGGGCTGTTACTATAGCTGCTATAGCTGCTATGGCTATGGGGCCAAAACGGAAAGGGTTTGGAGCCATACTAGCCGCCGGAGGTTTACGCGCAACTTAAGACTAAGACTTACTGGCAGGTAAGAGCCCGTACTGACATACTGGCCATTACTAGTTACTAGTTACAGTTGCTGGTTACGAGTTACCCCTCAGTGGCGGCTCACTGAGTACTGAGTAAAAAGAAACCTTGTCAAATCAATGGCACATCTGATGTCTGAAACCGTCGCCATAGCCATAGCCGATAGCCGTAACCATATAATCACACCATTAAAAGTTTTCATGGCCAGACAGCCAGACGTGAAGGCCACAAACCCATCCAGCCTGCTTCAGCGTCTCGATGCTGTTTTTGACTAAGCCGCCTTTGAGCATGCCCAAGGTGCCGGCCGCGGTGTTGAGCACCTTGGCCAAGTCGTCCTGCTCAGTGAGGCCTTGCTTCCAGGACGTTGCACCGTCGTCGTAGTCTTTGCAATTGGCACTGAGCAACCTGAGCGCATCCTTCACCTCATTCTGGGCCGTCTGCGCTGCCGCACGCACAGAAACGTGAAAGATCTGGCCGGCGTCGGCATTGAAGTACTTCTCCTTCAAGACAGGGGAGACACTCATCCGGTTGGCCCAATCCTGCCCTTGGTTTGTCCGGACCTCGCCGATCATGGTGTCGGATCGGACCATGGTGGCATGCAAAGCGGTGAGGGCTTTGACATACTGATCAAGCTTGGCACTGATTGTTCTGTCTCGCACGGACAAGGTGCTCTCCGCCGCGGCCACGTATGCAGCTTCACGCAAGAGCTGGACCTGGAGCGGCCACCACTGCGAGGTCAATGCGCTGGCTTTGCAGATCGCCTGGAGGGCAACGATCTCAACCTTGAAGATGTCACGCTTGTCGGAAACCTGGGAAGTAAGTAAGTACATAGAGTCGAGTCGACATGCATAGAGGCATAGAGTCATGATTACTAGCTTAGCTGACTAGCCGCTTACTAGCTGCTAACAGCCAGCTGACAAGGAATGCTTTAAATATTTGGACTGTTCGGAATCTGTGTTGACTACTGGCTCCATAAAGTCTGGCTCACTGCTTATTATCCTGTTGAACCTGTTGACACCGCAGGCCGTCACTAGCCACTAACGCTCGCCATGAGTTCCAGTAGCCTCAGTAGCCGGCCGTAGCCACAACTCACTACGTAATTACTGAGGCTGTATTCCGACATTGTCCTACATCCTACATTGGTCCTACATTCTACATTCCACATCTCAGGCGGGTGTCGCAAAGAAATTTAAAGGGAAATTGTACTAAGAGTCGGACTGGAGTGACAGTAAGACTTGCAGGGAGCTATTCAGCTATGCAGCTATTCAATCTATTCACACCTGAATATATTTTACTGGTGCGTTGTACCATTGTAGCATTGTAGCAGCAGGTCATCAACACACGTTAACTGAATTGAAAAAACTGAATATTGACCAGGGTTTAAAGTTTAGAGTGACCAGTGGCTAGAGTGACTAGAGTCTAGAGTCTAGAATCAAGCATCGAAAAAGCTAAATAGGGCATAGAGGCATGAAAATTACTGGCAGCTACTAATAACTAATAGTATTTATTACTACTACTGACTAGTGACTAGTGACTAGTGACTAATGCCTACTGCTGCTGGCCTTCAGCTTGAAGTGCCTCAGAAGAGGTCGCATGACGCTAGCACACTGCTGGCGCACATCGTCCGGGAGCTCATTTGGAATGCCACCCAGCTCGTCAATGGTCGAGGTGATGCTTGTGAAGTCCAAGGCTCTGAAAGCATCATCACCTGCATCCTCCGCGATCTTGAACTTCTCCAACCCCTCCTTGAGATGAGCCAACCCCAGCTCAACTTTGCATGTACCTCGGAAGGTCTCAAGTTTGTGCAACAGCTCCGGAACGCCTTTCTTGTCCAAGAAGAGCTGCAAGCCATCCACACATGCACAAAGCATGCTGGGGCTGACTTGGCTGGCGTCGGTGCTTGCATTGATGATGTCGTTGCCATGCCGCATCAAGGCCTTCAGCATGAGGTCTTCCAGCTGCGTGGTGGCTTTGGTCCTCATCTTCTGACGAAGCTGTGGGAGGTTCTTCGCACTTTCACGCAAAGTGTCTGTGGACACCTCATCCGAGGCGAGGTACTGCTGCACAAGGCCATCCAAAATGGGTTTCGCGACCTGATTGGATGCACCTTTCTTCACGAGGTCGTCCATGAGTCGGCTGTAAAAGTTGCCACCGGAGAGGATGTTCTTCACCGTCACTTCCATGTCCATGCTGCTGCTGGAATTCTTCATGTGGAGGACATCCTCCACAGAGCCGCTCACGGGATCAAGCAAAGCTGCAAAGCCGCAAACAACCGTCTTCACACGCCCGAGGCCGTCCATCAGCTCATCATGTGTGCCTCCATTCACTGCGGTTTTGTCCATGAAGCAGGCAGCGATCCCATCTCTGATGGCCTCGCACACAGCCAGGACGGTAGCCGATTGTTTCTCACCGCCGGTCAACATCTCGCAAAACACACCGCTGAAGAAGCTCTCGCACAGGCACATAGCCAGCATCTGGCAACTATGTCACACTCACCATATGTACTACAGTGTTACTACAGTTACTACAGTTACTAAATTGACTAAACTAAAGCTATATTATTAGCAGCTATTAACACCCTCCTAAAGGTCCTGATGACCTAATGTTTCATATTATGGACTGAGTCCTGGAGCCCCGGAAGCCGCTACAGCCGCCAGGCTCACTAGAACAGGAGGACAGTACCGGCCGCTACCACTACAGCATGCTGCTAGTATTAGCTGCTTAAATTGCTAAAGCGACACTGGCGGGTGTTACGGTCGTGGGGTCCTCCCCAGTAAGGACTGCGGGGCCTTGAGGGAATTTAGGGACGAACTTTGCAGTCACTTTGCAAGGCAAATACGAATATGACTATGATTGGGCCTTGACCATAAGGCCAAACCTAAGCCTGCGCTGCTTAGCCTAAAGCTTGGTCTAAGTCTACGGCCCTAGCCTATGCCCGCAAAGAGCTGAAAAGGCAATCATGCGCTGCGCTGAATTCTCTTGGAGTACAGCTGCTTGCTAGCTGCTAGCTGCTAGCCGCAAGCTGCAGTTTTAGCTTTTTCTGTAGCTGGAAGTAGCTAGGTAGCTAAGCTTGCTCTGCTAAAGTAAGTAGCTCAGTAACTGAGCAAAAATGTTTCTGTACTTTACTTTCCAAAACCCTATCCTATACTTCCTATACCTGTACCGCTACTAAGCTACTACTACATTCTTGCATCTATCTGCTAAGAATCTATTACTCAGTTAAGACTCTAGACTTTACTAATCCGGCAATCCACCCATCCACTAAGAAACTATTCTATACTAAGTCTGGTTTTTAATTAGTCTAGTTTCGTTAATAAATACCTGTTTTTACTTGCTTGTTACCTGTTACCAGTATTATCGGGTTATTACCCATGATTACGACCGCAAGTCAATAGCAACACCCCAAGGCCTGCCATTGTTCCTGGTGAACCTCTTGCAACTTGATCTCCTCCGACAACTCACACTGGCCGATCTCCTCCGCTTGCGTTGCCTCGAAGACCTCGCTGAGATTGCTGAATGTCGGGCGAAGCATGTCATGCCTCGAAAGGGCATGCTCCTTGAGCGGGATGAGGTGCTCCACAAGCTTCTGCACCGGGGCATCCTGCGGTGTCTTGCAGCCTGCGGCGGCGATCCCTCGCCACAAGTCAACCCCGAAGCGTTTTGCAAGATCCATCTGAACATCCACCGCCACAGGCAAGCCTGCTCGCGAAACAGCCTGAACAGCCAGCTGGATTTGATCGTCTTGGAGGTTGCTGGACCCTCCGGCCAGCCACGAGCATTTTTCGCACAAGTTCAGCCTGTTATCCAGGATGACACGGGCACCTGCCTGTGTCGCACCTTTCAGGCGGTCCAAGAGCTTGCGAGCCTCAGAGCGACTGACTGTCGATTGCTTTTGCCTACCTACCAATGACCAAGCTCTTGGGGCTCAGGGCTTTCGGGATCTTGGATTCGAAAAGGCTGGGATCTAGCGGCTGGCTGCTGGCTAAGACCGACTAGGTGGCTAGGGCTAGGGCCTACTAGGGCCCTAGCGGCCCTAGGCCCCAGCAGCTCTTGGAATGTGCAATATCAGAATCAGCATCAGTTCGCCTAGGCCTTGGCCTGGCTCAAGCCACACGTGTATCGGGTTTCGATTTCGAGAACCCACTGGAGACACTCATGGAAAAAAGTCAAGGGCCCACCCTGACAGCCCGGGCTTTGCAGACCGCCCTGGAAGCAGAGTGCAACAGGGAACTCAAAGAACGGACATATCATATCAGGTCATATCAGTATACCAAGAGCTCACAGCAACAGCAACAGGCTAACCGAGCAACCAGCGGCTCACAGGCGGCTAGCGGCTAGCGGCTAGCGGCTAACAGTTCAAGTCATTGGACTGTCAGTGTCCAGAATTGTGGGATGCCCACACTCACATAACAACACAGGTCTTCATTCCAAACCATTGGATGACCTGAAGTCACAATGCTGATCGGTTGGTTCCAGACCACTAAAGAATTAAATGACTAGACTAGACTAGACTCTAGACTACAATCTACAATCCACAAACAAAAATCAAAGCTACAGCTACAGCTCCAAGTCAATACAGTCACTACAAAGTCACTACAATACTTACTACAATTCACTACAATGTACTGAATGTACTGCGTGTATATGGCTCGAAAAGCCATTGGAAATTTAATTGTGGTCTCGCTCAAACGACGACAGCTACAAGCTACAATGTTACAACTACGACAGCCAACTGCAAGCGTATCTGGCCAGAGGCTATGTGGGACAGGACTGGCTAGCCACCGGACCCCGCAATTTTGCTCAAGATGTGACGGCTGCACTTGCGAACATGCATATTAAATGACTGTGCTGTTATGGTAGCTGGTACCTGTACCTGCTGCAACTGCACGTGTAGCTGTAGCTGTGTACCTGCCGCTCGGGCTGCGCACCCTGTCTGCCTCCTCCACACTCAATGACATGGTTCTTAGTGTTCTCTTGGGAGGCCTTGGGGCAATTTCGGGAACACTGCTGTATACTGTTGCTGTCCTCGGACTAGAATAGAAATAGAGTCTGATACCAGACCAACGTGCGCAGTGACAGAATAATAATGGCATAGCCGGCATAGCGACTGGCATAGCGATGGAGCTCAGTGACAGGTCCTAGATTCCTAGATCCTAGGTCCTAGATTCTAGTGACTAGTGACCTAGTGAGAATCTAGTGTTCTAATCAAGTCGCTTTAGTCAGAGTCATAGTCAGAGTAGTTAGTAGTCAGTAGTCATCGTAGTATGTCCTAGTGTCCTAGTGGTCCCAGTGCTAATAATATAGCAACGGTAACGTAATTACTTTGTTAACAACCTATTAACCTGGTAGTACTTAGTGACTTAGTGGCTTAGTGGCTTAGCAGTTTAGTAGCTGCTGCTAGTAACACTGTTAGTCGCTGCAGCTACTGAGCAGCTACTGAGCAGCTACGGATACTGAAACTGAGGCGAAGACTGAGGCACGTTGCACGCCTAGCTTCTCCGTGAGGTTCCTCTTCGGGCAGAGTGCCAAGAGACAAACTTGGAACGGAGCGCCCAAACGATTTTGGACCTTTTGCATTTCAGGGTCCAGCTGAGGGCCAGCGGGGTCCGGATTGAGGATGTCGGAGCTGCCAACACCACTCTTTTTCCCCGACTTGGACGACCGCACGGAAGCGACATCGGCCGGTACCGGTAGCGCCGTTCCCGCTGCCGCCGCTGCTAGCTCTTCCTTGATTCGTGTCCCAAGGACTCCAGGATTGGAGGGGGTGGCACTCGCTTGGGGCGTCTCCGGAGCCGGCATTGCCTGCCCGCCTGGATTTGCTGTCCGATCCGGCCGCTCCACCCTGACCTTTGCCTTGGCTTTCGGAGTGCTCTTGGCAGCACTCTTTTTCGGTTGCACCTGGGAAAGGCCACTGCTCAAGGCCAAGCGCTGCACAGCCGATCCACCCCGGATGACACCTTCCAAGTCGGACTCATCCTCCTCCACGAGCTCTTCCTCGGGGTCGTCATCGATATCATCTTGCTGCAGCTCCTGCAAATGAGGAGTGATCTAATCTAATTTCATCAATAGGCAATTCTAATCATTCTAATCATTCTAATCTGATCAGAATCTAACCCACTGCAAACATGGTTCCAGACTCTACAGATTCTACAAATCACAAAATTCTAAGCTTTTGGTTTTGCAGTGTGGCTCCGGCGATCTCAAAAGTCAAGATAGGATGTAGAATATAGAACATCATTGGAAATCATAATTCTATCCTATCCTATCAGGTCCTCCCACAAATGAGGATTGGGACAGCGCACCCGTGACGCACAGCAGCTCAGATCAGCTATCAGCTATTGAGCACCTAATGCAAATCCGACTTCCAGGCATACCCAGTCCTGAATCTCTGCAGCCTTCTGCTTGAGCTCAGCAACAGAAGGCGGCAGTGTCCGGGTGCCATAGCCCCTGAATGCAGGTGGATAGTTGTCCACCTGTCACTCACTGTGTTTTCTGCGGGAGCAACATTGCGGGTCTACACTCTACACTCTACACTACACTCTACACGAGTCTACACGCAAGCCTAGCCCAACCACCATTCCTAAGTCCTAAGGAGCACAAAATAAGGCAGGGTAGGATCACACGGGTTTGGGTGCATACAATGAATGTCGAGTCACTGTAGTAACTGCAGTATTTTCCTGCACTCGCAGAAGCCTGTCTCGGATATCAGCCGGGCCCTTACTAGGTAGTTAAGTTACTAGGGCCACTAGGGCCTATATGGCCTAGGGCCTAGATCATCACAATCTACAGCCTACATCTACATTGTATTTTGTACATTCTACAAAATATTAAGTATTATTAAGTATAAGTATAAGTATGACTCGTTACTTTCTCATTATTTTGGAGCCTGCTTCTTCGAAAGGAAATCCGACATGATGCTCGGTTGGCGGTCGTGAATTTGCTGCTCTGGCTGAAGATAAGCCTCCTGAAGAACGAGGTTCGCCTCACGAAATACCTGTACTCGCCGGAGTGACATAATCTCCTGGGCAGTTTAAAAAACACTACACCAAGTCACCAAATCATTATTTACACGAAATTAGCTCGGCAAGGGAAAGGGCCGGGCTAGCGGCTAGGGCGGCTACGGACCAGGGTGACTAGGGCATCGGGTTTTAACGGCTTCGAAATACAAGAGCAGGCAAATATTTGCAGCTAGCAGCTAGCAGCCAGGAACCGGCGGCTAGAGGTTGGCTAAACTACACGGCTAATCCCGGCTACGGCTACGGCTACGGGATACGGCGGCTATGCGGCTATGGCGGCTACGGTTATGGCTATGGCGGCTACGGCTGCGGCTACGCCACTACACTACACCACGCTAGGACCGCTAGGGCTAGGGCCGCTGGGACCGCCAGGGCAGCGTGTTAAAGCACTCGAAAAGGTGAGAGAAAGAGAGAAAGAGAGAGAGAGCCTCAGACCTCACTCCACAACACCTCAACCTCCTTCACAACGACCCTCCCCGAACGAAAGACCCCGAACCTGAACCCTGAACGAAAGGAACCCTGCAGGAAACCCACCCCACCCCACATAACCCAAAGCCCAGAGAGAGAGAGAGAGAGAGA